ACACACACGCACTAGGAGTCAACTAAAATTGTGCTCCCAGTTTGGTTTTCACACCGTGATCAACTTTATATGAATCTAGATTTCTAGGCCGGCATCTCTGTTTGTGTACAATCGAATATTTCTGGCCTTTACTTTCCTATCCCACAGGTGAATTTTCACCGGTTGCTTTTCAGCCTGATTCCAGATCTGACTTTTCTCCCTGCGACAAAACAAAAGGTCATGCCATCAGGGTCTTCATATCTCCCATTAGTATGAAAAGTTTAATTTATTTTCCCAGTCATAAAGATTTTTATTCGGAATGACAGATGGGATAATCTGCTATTTTATGCCCTGATGTCACATTTTCACCTCCCCACAACTTCACTCTTTCCAGGTCCGCAGATAAGACCATATCGCAGGGGTCTCTCAAGCATCCGCCTACACAAGCCCAAACTGATCTCTCTGATGGTCGTCAAACCGCACCTCACCCCTTCCAATCAACGACTAAGCCAATCGGGGCAGACGACAAGATTGAGTCATCTTTCACCTGTGCCCAGTTTTATCCTCCCGACCATCAGGAGTCGAGTGACATCAAAGTGCCTTTGTCAGCACCAGGTTTGTTGGTCTTCAATGATCATTTGCCCGTCGGAGCGGGCAATGCAGTCAGTGAAAAGTCGCCTTCAAGACTGTTGATCCCGACGACGACCAGTGATCCCAACTGGTTGACCAGCCTTTTCCAGCCTCCCAGGCCGCGTTGTGTACCAGGGAAAGCAGATCATCTACAGGGCGATATGCAGAGGTGTCTGCTCAACACCGCTAAGCTGGAACAGTTCAACAATGGTCTTCTGTTGCTCGACGACTGCACAGACACGAATGGCCTCCTCGACGACCTTGTAGCCGGACACGCAGAGTCGACAGGTCGGATTGCTCAAAATGGCTGCGGTAGCGCAGAAGGTGTGGGCAGTCGTGGAGACGAAGTGGAAGGGGCAGAGGGAGGCGAAAGGGAAACTAGTGGTCTGGGAAGCATAACCACCGATTATGAAGAGACCAACTGTGAACTAGTGCTTTCGGCCAGTCTACCCGGCTTGTCACAATTGCTTTTCAACCCAACCCCAGGAAAGAGGGCCACTTTGAAGGGTCCACTGCCGGCTGCTTTCATATCGAGCTTGCGTAAGGACAAAGCAAAATCAGGCAACAAGACCAATTCGTCACCTTGTCCCTGCGATTGCGCCACCAGTAAGGCTAAATACACCCAAATCGCTACAATGGGAAGGCACATTCCCACTTGGCCCGCAGATTATGGGAATGAGATCGCATTAGATTGTTACAATAATCTGGACCCTACAGAAGAGGGACAAGCGGCAATGATGGGGCTAAACTGTGGAAGTCAAGGCGTCGACGCATCGAGTCAGGCTAGTGACAAAAGGAGAGATTTGTCGTTGCTGAGATCCAATTTATGCGGATCTCAGACAACGCTTGAAATGGGTAAGCGCAAGCCCAGAACTGCTTCTGTACGATTCTCACCCACCACTAAATAAACGCTCTCTTTTCCACCCCCTGAAAAACCTGTTGAAGACGCATAGAGTTATCGGGACCAAATGTGTACATAGCGAAACCAAGAGTTGTGAAATGGTGCACTGATCCCAATATTGGGCAAATCCACACAGCATTTCAGTTTGCCCAACTGTATTTAAGTAGCTAGAGAATGTCAGCTGTGACGAGTGAAACTTTTTATCGAAGTTTTTTTTACTATAATAAATAACCTTCCTAAGGAACATGAAGTAGTGCTTTTAATTATTTGCTACTATGCCCACATTTGGGATCTGAAGCATGTCCTGAGTGGGCTTACCTCCAAGCCAGCATTTTTATGCTGTCATTGAGGTGTGTCAATTTCGGCCGCTTTTTATATTTAGACAATGATTTCCACTTCGCCAAACCCATAAAAGGACATTCTCAACTCCAGACCGGACTGCAGTTTAGGTGGATCCCACCAGAAACGCAAGTATGCATTTATAAGTGAACCAAGCCTC